AAACCTTGTCTTAAATGGAAATTTTCTTTGAAAAATGTGGAGGATTTTTTACGAAAAATGGTGTTTAAGCGCTACTGTAAATTCGAAATTTGAAGCTCTTTTTCATACAAATTTTTGAGTTCCGAAAAACTTCATTTGAAGTCATTTTAAGAACTTTAACTCACAAATATAATAGGGTTTACAAATTACTGGAAATATGCATACTAACTACGTGAGACATCTTTCAAAAGAAATTACATTTGTGTAATTTTGGAAAAAACAAAAATTACCTCAAAATGAACTTTTAGTCATATTGAAGAGTACAATTAGCACTATTCATTTGAAAAGATTGAAGAAAACATTTCGGGCGGTTTTTGGGAAAATGACGTTTGAGCGTTTCTGAAAATGCGGGATTTTGAGCATCTTTTCACAGAAAGCGGTTGAGTTGTTGAGAAATTTGATATGACTTTATTTAAACACATGTACTCATAAATATAATAATGTAAACGTATCGCCGCTAGTGTAAATATAACGACGCGAGAAACAAGTCAATAGTTACATCTTTGTAATTTTTGAAAGAAAAAAAATATAGCAAACTTGATGTTTTTGTCATCTCATAGAGTACATTTAGTACTATCGCTACCAAAAGTTTAAAGAAAAAATATGGAGCAGGTTTTCAGCAAATCTTGTCTTTGTTATTTTTTTAAATTGCACGTATTGCATGCAATATTGCGCGAAAACAACTAAAACCGGCAAAAAAGTAATGACACCAATGAAAGACCACAGTATGGGGAACAAATTTTGTTTGAATGAAAAATCTCTATTTTCAATTTTGTAGTTGTAGGAAGATGCCAGAAAAATTTGTTTTCGTAAATTCTGAGTTAACGGTGAAAATTGGACCTATGCTACCTTTATAAGTATGTGTGTGTGTAGTTTATATATATATATATATATATATATATATATATATATATATATATAAAAACTATTCTTACAAGAAATTTAAAGAAAATATTCAGAGCCCTTTTTGAGAAAATTTTGAAAATGTCTGAGGAGCTTCATGAAAAGTATCTTCAAAAATTAATAAATGTTTTTTTTCAAAATCGCAGAGCTTCGACTCAAGCCAGCTTGAAAGGGATATATTCGGTTTTGAAAAAAATCGCATGCATATTTTAGATGCTAGTGTTGTTCACATACACCAGACAGACGGCCGGCCGGACAGACGGACGACCGTTTTGAAAAACACTTTTTCGATATCAGGGGACCACAAAACGTGTATTTCTGTTGAAATCTCGAAATCGATTTTCCGCATTGTTTTGTAACGTTCCCTAAACAACATATATTAATGTGTATATACGTACGTAGTAAAGTAATAAGTGGTGCTAAATCACATACTTTCTCACATTATTTGTAAATTTGCTATTTTTGAAAATTCAGAGAGTTAAACAAAAATGAGATCCGCGCCGTTCCTTTAAGAGTTCATGACTTCATATAAAAGTCCCGAAGCCTTGAATTCGTTCAGATCGATCTGGAAAAATCATTTGGAGAAAATCGACTGAACGGTTTAGGCGCTAGCATTGATCACAGACGGACGGCCACGTTTTGCCGTCAATCAATTTTTCGGTATCAAGGACCCACAAAACATGGGGTTCTGGCTACATTGCATGTTACAGGAACTAATTTACTACATATAAATGCGTGAAAACCAGAACGGTAGAAGTGACAATTTATAAATTCAAAAATCTGTTTATTTAAGTCAATATTACTGTAAAGTCGTGGTGCTTTGTTTCATCTTTAAAAACACGGCATGACAATTGTTCATTAAAACAACAAAAATTCATTGCCACTGAAATAAACACATTTTTTTCTCAGAATTTATAAAATGTCACGGACCATTCTGGTTTTCACCCATTCATGTATGAACAGGATGTATCCACATTTTCGTTGCCAGGGCCCGACAATAAGAGTTTTTCTGTCGAAAATTCGCCCTTTCTGGAGAACGATTACAATACTTTGTTTTCTTACATTCGTAAGGGCGAGATGGTAAAATTGGCAGTTGTAAATTTTGATTTTCTAAATTCATATTGAGTCTGAGATGCGTTGTTTTTCCCGAGGAAAGTTTTTATATGCATATAGAAAAATCTCTCTAAAAATAGTCTAGTCATATTAATGTGACTACCGCCTATGTCGAGGCAAGCCTGCAAAAACCCCTTGCAGACGGCAGCACTATCAGTGAAGTATATAGAAAACGTGTGGGATGCAAGCGGAAAATAGTGTAGTAGTTGTTGCCGTGCAGAAACCGAGCGATTTATCAGATGTCCAAAAGAGCATGATCATTGGCTTTCCGGAAACATTTCCGAAATGGCTACGTTTTTAGGGTTCGCGCGCGGCCATGATGAAAATATTCCATGCATGGCAAAATGGCGATATCCAAAACCAGCGCCGAGGCAATGTGGCGTACCACAGGCTATAATGTCAGGAGAAAACGACGAAATATTGCTACGCGTGGCACTCCGCAGCAGGCCCACACTTTAAATACTTGTATTTGAAATACATTTTATATTTGAAACACACTACTTTTGAGTTGTTTGGACATGTAATTTGGAGATGTATTTAAATTAATAAAATAGGTACATTTAAAAAAGAAATACCTACTTAAAATACACATGAAGATAACGAGGTTAGTATTTTATTGGATTCTGCTAGAGAATGCCCTTTATTGAAATAAACAAAAGCTCCAACAATGAAAAAATGTATTTGTTACACCACTAGTTTATGTTCATTCTCGTTAGTTCAATGAAAGTTTTCTTTTACGATTTTATTCATTTACCAACTAATGGTTTATTGTCTGATGATTTTTTTGAAAAAATAGTCGTATTAATAGGATATTCCGTTGCATATTTTTGACACACTCTGCAACAATCTCCGGACGGGTCCAGGATGGAGAAGGGAGCGTGGTGGTATGGGGGATGTTTTCGTGGCATTCTCTGAGTGATATTCTGAAAGGCACAATGGATCAATAGAAGTATGTAGCCAATCTTGGGAACCATGACCACCTTATATGGATAATCGTTTTTCTCAGCGAGTCGGCATCAACTAGCAGAACAATGCAACGCGTCATACAACTCGCAGTGCACATGCGTGGTTCGAAGAGCACCAGCATGAGTTTACAGAATTCCCCTGGCCACTAAACTCCCCCGATCGAGAATCTGTGGGACCACTTCGATCGGACTATTCTCGACATAGATCTGCAACAGAGAAATCTAGCACAGCTGGCCACCACACTGGAGTTGGCCTGGCTACAAGACTATTTCCCTGTCGGTACCATCCAGAACCTGACTGACTTGTCTTCCTTCACGTTTCACAGCGATCAGCGCTGCAAAAGGATTTTGGCGGGTGGTCACATTAATGTGATTGGACCGTGTATGTTTGAGAAAACTGACCAAAGAGAAATTTATTAGCAGAAAAAAAAGGTTTATTTGCTCAAATGTTGGCCTTCTTAAGATAATGCAATATCACTTGTTCATTAATTTATATGAAGATATCCATATCATCAAAAACATGTTTTAATGGTGTTTTCTAAAATATGTGCTGTCTTAATATTTTATTCTTTAAGATTTTTTGTTATTCATTAAGTTAAATGCATTATTGAAAATTTTTTATTATTCATATAAATCAGATATCCATAATAAATAAAAACTATGTTCCTGAAATGTAAAGAAAACATTTTTCTTTAACACAAAAAGAAAAGAGAAATGACATTTGCACCTGCTTTTAAGTGAAGTAAAATGCAATTCAGATATGAAAGGAATTCAATACTACTTGGCCTATTATTAACAACAATGATCATTTTATAATGAAGGAAAAGTGTTACCAGTCTGTTTTTTGCGGGATGAACAGTCAAATTTCAACGAAAAGTGTAATACATTATAATTTCATCAAAGTCTTGTCTTATGATACTTATTTCGTAAATAAATATTTACATATTCAATATATAGTATTAAAACAATGTAATAGTTTGAAAATACATTTTTTTCTGTAAATTGCTTTTTGGGAGGAGAGACTTTTCCCTAATTTCTATCAAATGGATCTGCCTCTATGAAATTGTTTGAGAAATATTTTTTTAAAAATTAATTAGGAAAATGTATTGTATATAGATTCATAGCAAAGAAGTTATAGAAGATGTCAAACAAGGAGTTTGATGAATAAGAGCAATAAGTTACATAATTTTAGTTCAAAGGAGAACATTCAATTTAAATTCATTCATTACCTTTAGAACCTTGTTTTAGGCAAAGTATATACTAACTTATAAAAAATCCTAATTGGATTCCAAATGATGCATTTCATGCATTTCTGAGTGTTTTAACTTCATAAAATGACAAAATAAAAAGGTTTAATTGTTCAACTTTCTTTTAGTGAAGGGAAGTGACTTGGCTTCTTGCCTTTGACAGATCATTTCTCTTCGAACTTTCTACTTTCATTATGGGCAGGGAGGAATTATTTTTATGTTTGTGCTTATTTTTTAACTCTCTGGTGTCTGATAAAATCATTGAAATATACTTTTTCATTAAGTATCTCAAACCATGGTCATAGAATGAATTATTTACGTATGTAGATAGCATATTGTAAAAAATAGTTTGATAAAAAATAAGTATCTATTGTAAATCATGGAGGACTTGGTTTATAATTAATAAACAAAATTAATTGAATTTAATATATTTTTCATTTAAAGAAATATAATTAAAATCAAACTCTAGAAAATTGTTTCCTTTTATTAATTACAAAGAGGAAACAAACAGGATCTTTTTTACAAACATTATGCATAGCTTTTGATTTTGAACACAGAGACCTCCCAAGAGCACGGAAATTTTGCAACCTGATGAAAGCCGGAATGCGTTACGTCATTTTGTGAATGTTTACCTTCGACACTTACCACTAATCGCTGTTGCCTGTTTGCCAACATATCGTCTACAGATGATATGGCCAAGCCGACCATTATCACCTCCTGTACCTGACTCACAGGTAATTAAACTGAAGAAAAAAATGAACTGTAAAAATATTTCATTTTTGTATGCAATTGATTTATTTGTACATGTAGACAGGTGAGAACTTAGATGAAGACAATGAACGCCAATCTCGTCTGTTACGAAAAAGGTCATCCAAAGCAAAGATATGATCAAATAAATAGTCATTGGTATGGATTTCTACAGTAAACACATTATGTTTGTCTCTATAATGACGCAAAATCATAAAGAAATTCAGAGGTCAGTTGGCAGAAGAATATTATATTTTATTTCTTGTCCTTTTTTGATATCTAGCTATTGAGGCTCTCACAATTTCAATACTTTATTGGCATTAAAAATATGTGCAACAAAAACTCATAGAAAACAATCTGAAAACTCAAAATTAATATTTTTATGTTCTTATTGCAGCAGTGAAAGTCAACTAATGATAAAGACTTCGTGGGATGAATTTGCATTATACATAAGTAAGATCTGAAAATCAAAATTTGTCCCAATTTATTTCATCAATATATATCCTTTTGTTACAGTTTACACTTGCATTATAAAACAAGCCAGATCAAAATTTCATTGATAAAGAGTTACTTAATGTGCATTGATTTTCTTGTAATTATCTGGCAGCAATAAGATTGCCAGGTACTAAAGTATTAAAAGCAATTAAATGCTAGAAGAAAAACAATGTTTTTAGTATAACAACATTAACACAACTTAAATGTGAACCATTATGTAAACAAATTGTTTGTTAAATCATTGGTAAAAACAATAAAATATTAAAAATGTGTAGACTACTCAATTGGATTATACTTAAGGGTGGGGTAAGTTCTTAGCCGGAGGAGCTCCAGTTCTGTTTGTAAAAGCAGTATCTCATGGAACTGCTGTTGGATTTTACGAACGGCATGTCCTCGCAATATTATCAGCTTCATCCTATGTGCAAAACAATAAACATTATATTAAAGAGAATTCATGCATTCTTAAATAAATGTGTTACCACGATTAAGCAGTACTAAAAATTTGTGAAAGAGGAAAGGTTGTTAAGGGAGGAAAATTCTCCAATTTTACATTATATATTTTCATATTTTTTTTATAATTGTAATTGTTTCTCATATTCAGTAGGCCTACATGAATGTGTTAATTATATCAATCTGCATTGTTTAATTAAACTTTAGCCACACAAATTCTGTGTATCCTTTGAAAATAAAGAAGCTAATCAATTAATAAGTAAACATTGCCAACCCTTCTCCCAAAGTGATGTTAAGAGTTACTCTATAAAAACAACTTACTACTGACACACACTATCCTGAAAATAATGTTATTAATAATTTAAAATTAATATAAATATTATTTGGATTATTTGAAAAGCCAGTAACAATCTTCACTGAAAAACCATAGAAATGATGTTACTGAAGTCATTTAGATCTTATGATAATAACATGGGTTAGAGTTCTACATCATCTGTGACATCATGAGACAAATTCTTAACAGAGGATTACTCCAGACAATGCCCAAGAAGGGTTAAGAGTCATGCTTAGAAAAAGATGCAACAAATAAAATAAAAATAGAAAAAAGATATACTTCAATACAGGTGTGTTTACACCATGCGTATTGAAGAAGAAAGGAAAAAAATATCAATACAAAAATAAAATAATTTAACAGAAGAGAAGAAGATGTCTAAAGGGTTGCTGTAAGTTAAGGCTAAATGCCCTGACACTAGTACAATTTGTAGCCACCACGTGGTAGCCGCCAAAATAAGTAAATTTACTTTACCGATAACGTCTGAACCAATGGTTCGATTTTCGATCTGTAAACGGCATTTGACACCTTTTTAAAATAGAATTTACGCTACGATGACCTTTTTCCAAAAATCTAACAAAAACGCGAATTTGAAATTAGTTCTCACACTTCCGAGAACAAATTTAAAAATGTAGCCTTATAGCGCAATGGCGGCATGCTTCCTGAATCCAACGCCGTGACAATCATGCAAATCGGATGAATAGGAGTGTCGTAAAGTGAAATTTACGAAAACACCTCGCCCCCCCCGCCCCCCCACACACACTTCCTCTTCTGCGCCGTTGCGTTGCGTCATCCACCCGCCCGTTGTGGGCCCTCTGTCAGCACGGTGGCACGGCCAGGCCCGGCGGTTAAAGTGGTGCCACGTCTAAGATTAATATTTAGCTCTGCAAATAATTCAGCAATTCAAAAATAACAGTATCCTTTTTTAGCTTTATGGGTACTGGCCTGCGATGACGCAGTAATGCTTGTATTAACAAATTGCAGAGTTGACACCCTTATATCATCTTCTCTTCTACTCCAAGGATGGGTTCATGACTTGTTCTGACTTCTACCAATTTAATTTCTATAACGATCTGCCTCTGTGTCTTCTACCTCGCGTTCTACACATAAACGCTTGCTTTAGAATGCGTGTCAGTCCCATGTATCGAAGTCATTCCTCCCTTCACTCCCTGAAGTCAGAAAGATAGTATTTTGTCATTGATTGCTTGAACAATTAATTTTCATCTTATTTCGCGTCGCGCTTCTGGCCTGTGGACCTATGGCGAGAGAGACAACTCGCATAGTCGAGGCTTGAGAGCACAACCGCATGGGTGGACAAAATGAGCATCAGCACGAACATTTCATTCGTTATCGAATCCCGCCAAGCGATTTTCGCCGCTAACTTATATACCGCTAGTTCACGTGACAGTGCCTCCCGCGCTGGAGAATGGCTGGTCGGCAAACACATTCGTTTATTTGTTTTGGCCGTGTACAACGAATTCCGCTTGCTATGTGCATTCCGAGAGCTGCACCCAAACTAACGTCCGCTCTCGGACACTTGAACCGCAACACCTGCACTTCCCAACCGTTTGCTCCGTGTACAGACCATGTCATTAAATAACTATTCAATTATAACTGAACTAAAAATATAGGAATATTTTGTTTCTCTACGAAAATCTCAATGTGTGTTTGTGTGAGAGAGAGAGAGAGAGTGTGTGTGTGTGTGTGTGTGTTATTTGCCTGTAATAGATCGAAAATGAAAACAGTAATAATTATTTACGAAATATGTAACGTAATTTCATCCTTTACTTTAAGAGATCAAATCGTACAAAGATAAATATCAAGATTGTAGGAAGATAAACCATGGAACTCTACAATATACCGATGACGCAGAAATCCTGGTGACAGCGTGATTATGCATTGCGGTCGAGCAAGCAGTATATTTTCTGGAAATTTTTGATTTTTTTCATCTAGATCTACCTCTGTTATATTATTACTGTTACTGTTATATTATTATTTATATTACTGTTATATATCTTTTACAGGTTATATTATTTTAAAAAGATTTAAAATGACCAACTGGCCACATCTCATACTTTTCAAGAAGTGCGTATAATCTTTTCCCGTAAATGCCATCGCTTTGGTCTTTGTATTCGAAATGTTTAAATAATATCCTTTGTGATTTTGATGAAATTAATAAACAGACTTTGTAAATATTTTATCTTTTAGGATCAAAATCATTTTTGTATGAAAGTTCATAAATATCACGCAATCACGTTTCGGTCGTTTAGGAATGTGCCGCACATTTTTCCAGCATGTTATCTTCAGATGCAAAAAGACGAACAACAGTGAGAACTGTTGGGTATCTATAAATAATCTAGTGACTACAGGATATAGTTACCACAGGGTAAAGTGAATGAGAAACGAAATAAAAGAATGTTTATAATTGTATCTAAAGATGAAAAAGAATTCGTGCTCACACACGGACAGTGACTGACTGACAGACGGACGGACTCTGATGGACGGGCGGACTGACGGATGGACGGGCTATCAGATGTACGGACTGACGGACGCACTTGACAGACTAATGGACTGACAGACTAACGGACCGACAGATTTTCTGACAGACTGATGGACGGACGGACACACGGATGGACGGACTGACGGACGGATGGATTGACTGACGGTCGCATGACGGCCAGACAGCCCGCCTGACGGACTAACGATCGGCCTGACGGACGGACGGTCGGCCTGACGGACGGACGGTCGGCCTGACGGACGGACGGTCGGCATGACGGACGGACGGTCGGCCTGACGGACGGTCGGCCTGACGGACGGACGGTCGGCCTGACGGACGGACGGTCGGCCTGACGGACGGACGGTCGGCCTGACGGACGGACAGTCGGTCTGACGGACAAACAGTCGGCCTGACGGACAAACGGCCTGACAGACGGACCGACGGACTGACTGAAGAACGAACTGACGGTAGGATTGACGGAAAGACTCACTGACAAAATAGTCACAATAATAAAAATAGTCAAAATAGTTATATAACTCAGGGTAGTCAGACCGACTTGTTGGACGGATCCGTCAGATGATCGACTTGCTGGGTCGATTCCTCATTTAATAGTCTTGCTGGGTCGATTTCCCACTTGATCAACATGCTAGGTCGAACCTCTACTTTATCGTCTTGCTGGGTCGATCCCCTACTTGATCGACTTGCTGAGTCGATCCTTCAATTGATCGACTTGTGGGTCGATCCCCCACTTGATCAACTTCCTGGGTCGATCCCCCACTTGATCGACTTGCTGGATCGATCTTCAACTTGATCGACTTGCTGGGTAAACCTCCCACTTGATCGACTTGCTGGGTAAACCTCCCACTTGATCGACTTGCTGGGTCGATCTCTCACTTGATCGACTTGCTGGGTAAACCTCCCACTTGATCGACTTGCTGGGCCGATCTCCCACTTGATCGACTTGCTGGGTCGTTCTCCCACTTGATCGATTTGCTGGGTCGATCTCCTACTTGATCGACTTGTTGGGTCGATCTCCCACTTGATCGACTTGCTGGGTCCACCTCCCACTTGATCGACTTGCTGGGCCGACCTCCCACTTGATCGACTTGCTGGGCCGACCTCCCACTTGATCGGCTTGCTGGGTCGATCTCCCACTTGATCGATTTGCTGGGTCGATCTCCCACTTGATCGACTTGCTGGGTCGATCTCCCACTTGATCGACT